GCCACATACGAGATTTTCATACTAAACTTTCAATGAAATCTCTATTACTTAACAACATAAGTGCAATTTCAAGGTATTCATGATAAACCTTCGATAAAATTACAAGTATTAGGCAAATCATTAAACAATAATCTACCTATACAATTTAATAGTCATATACATGCTTTAATCCACAAATCTTAAGTCAAGTATATCAAGTTTCTATTTATATGCAAATACAAGAATTTAAAAGGCATGTAATCAATATATATCAAGCTCCAATATATATAAAACCCAAAGAGGATAAACATACAATCACCCCTATCTCAATAGAGAATTGAATCTCTATAATCCAAAGCAACCAAGCTTAAAATGGAAAACCAAATTAGGGTTTTGTAGAGGAGAGTGAGAGGAAACTTTTATCTCCCAAGGTTAAAGGTCTAAGATGAGTGGAAGGAGGCTAAAATGAAGTAATAAGCTCTAAGCCAAGCTTTTCTTCAATGGTGGCTAGGTTATGGTTTGAGAGCAAAGGGATAAGAAAATAAAAATGAAAAAGAAGTGAGTAGAGGATTTAGTATTCCTCTACTCACTATGTGCTCTTGCACTACCTCTCACACACACACTTTTGCAAGACAAAATATGGTGCCTACAGTTGTTACCATCTTAAGTAAATATCCAAGGCTTAATATTAAGCCTACACTTGTCAACCATCCATGTCAACAAGTGCTCCTATCCTAGGCCAACAAATGGGTGAATCTCTGGTGTGGGCCGTCGTCAAACCCAAAAGTTTATGTTAATGTGGCCAAGTTTTACATTTAGAAATTGCCACTACTACCTTTTACTAAAAACATAGCTAGGGCAAGTAGGGATCGTCCCAAGGGATTGAGTGTCGTACTAGGTTGAGGAATCAAAATTAGGGTTAGTAGGTCGAGTGATCAAAATAGTGGTTGGTTGGTTGAATTAAACTAGATGCAAATTAAATTAAAGTAAACAATAATGCAATAGAGAAAATAAAAGAGAGAGAGATCTTGGGGTTTAGAGATCACCACTAAGTATACCGTTTCTACACCTTTAATGAATGATTAATGAGGGGAAGAGCATGTATTGCAACAAGTGTGTGTGTGTGGTTGTTTCAATAAGCATGGATAACAAATTAAGCATATATTGTCTAAACAACATGGTGAATAGCACAACATATCAAATTAAGCCATTAATCCTTTCTTTAAGCTCACAATCCAAACACATCACAAGGTTAGAGATACATATTACTTGTTTTTCATAAGTATGGAACATCAACAACAAGCATGGATTGTCCTCCCATTTAACAACTACACTACAACTAAGCTAATGACATGAAATTAAACTAATTAAACTAAGGGAGAGGTACAATCCATCAAGCAATGAGTATGAACCATCAAATAAACCACAAGAACATGCCATTAAGCACTATGTCTTGACAATCTCTAGATCTATAGCATCAATACACATAGACATGCATCAATAACACAAGAAATAGAGCATACATAGACATATGGATAGAATGAAATGATCAATTAGAAGCATTAAACCACATAAATCGTTGAAGAAATAAGATCTATATATATAAAGGTGTTAAGACATGAATCACAATACAAATCCCCTCAAAAATTCATAAATCAAGAAGTAGAAAGCATGCTTAGGGCTAACTCTAGCCCCAAGAGGATGTCTAGGCACTCATGGATGATGTCCTCCAACCCCCAAGGGCAAGCTCCATGGAAGAAATCTGCTCCTTAATTAATGATGAGTCTCCAATGGTGTCTCTAGCCTCTTCCTCCTCTTTTGCTTACTCCCTAAGAGTTCTACAAGGTATGATATGATATGATGTAAAAAGTAATCCTTATCCTTATATAGGTAGGTCAAATGACACCCAAAATGAGCTGGGGTCGTACAACAAATATTCCCCAATGATTAGATAAAGGATAACTTTTTGTGAGCTGGAAATTTAACTTTTTCGCACTGAAGGAAGTTCGATCGATCGAACCTTGGACTTGGATCGATCGAACATGGCTAAGATCTATCAAACTTAGGCTGGATCGATCCACGATAGCGGCGCCTTTTTGGATAAAAACAAATCTGAGATATTTTGAAGATATTTTTGGAAAAAGGACAAAAGTGGTTGGTAGGGTGGTACAACTGGATAAGATCAATCATTTGGATAAGGACAAGAATGTTTGATCGATCAGAGAAGGAAGTTGGATCGATCAAACTTTTGAGATCTTTAAACAGGGACAAACATGGCTCAGATTCATCTTGAAGTGCTGAGATCGATGAAAGTTGGATCGATCGAACTTTTATTGAGATCGATCGAAGTTGCTGAAATTCCACCCTTAGCTTCCTTTTGCTCTACTTTTACTCCTTTCTTTGATTCATCCCAGAATTGCTTCAATTATGCTCTTATTTGGCTGAGTTAGCTTATTTTGGGGATAAGTACCTGAAAATGGAAATAACACGAAATCAATACAAAACGGTAAAGTAAGATAGATAAAGCTTCTAGAATACCTAAGCTTAAGGAGTTTAAATACGCACTTTTCAATGCTCATTAATCTCCACCCTCCATGTGTCATCAAACTAAGCCTCCAAGTGGTTCCACCACAATGCCAACAAGTGGCTCCATCGGAGTGTGACACTTGTCACATTTTCCTAAAATTGTAAAAAGGTCCTTTTCTAAAATATCTTCCAAATTAAATTGCAAAATGGTCACTAAGCCGAAAAATAATTACTTTATTTTATTACGCTAAAACCCCAAAAGTCTAGAATATTTTTATAAAATTATGCATTCATACCCTTTACAAGAAAAGTAAACATTTAGCATGCTTTTCTACGAAAGTAAAAATATACATATCATAGAAATTAAATATCATGGATGCATGCAAAGCCGGAATCAAATCCGAGCACAAAAAAATGAGGTTATGCAAATGAAAACGAAAACGGGAAAAAAATGAAAAAAGGAAAATGACGAAAAAAGGGAAAATGATGAAAAAAGAAATTACCCAAAAAAAAAAGAAAGGAAGGAAAATGACCGGGTCATCACAGATGAGCCCCAAGTTTGTAATCTAAACCTCTATCTCTTTCATACTTTTCGGAGAATAATATCTTGTGATTAGTATTTTATGTAACGACCCAAATCCACTGGGTCCGGATTGTTAAATAGATCTTTATCCGACCCAAAATCCTCCAAGGGTAATATGGTCCTTTCACGTTAAATTTGTATATTAAAACCCAACAAGGACAAAATGGTCATTTGCCACAAGTCTAATACTATGAGATTCAAAGGGCATAATAGTCATTTACTTATGTCACTTAATAAATAAGATAGAGTTCGGGGCAATATAGTCTTTTCTGTGATAAAAAAATAATTATTGAATTTTATTAGGTCCTAAAATAAATACTCGTAAATTTGAATAAAAGGATAATTAGGAAAACTAAACAAAAAATATGTGAAACAGGAACCGGTCGATGTAAAATTCCCACACGTCGACCGGATGACTTGAACCAGTCGACGTGTAGGCTACACGTCGACTGGTATCTTGGCAGTAGCTATTTCACTGTGCATGACCTGAACCAGTTGACGTGTAGCCTCCCACACGTCGACCGGTATCTTAGCTGTGGCCAATGTCACTGTGCGTGACCCAAACCAGTTGACGTGTAATGCATACACGTCGACCGGTTCCTATTCCACACATTTTTTTATTTAGTTTCCCTAATTATCCTTTTATTCAAAGTTACGAGTATTTATTTTACGACCCAATAAAATTCAATATTTACTTTTTTATCACAGAAAAGACTATATTGCCCCGAACTTTATCTTATTTATTAAGTGACATAAGTAAATGACCATTATGCCCTTTGAATCTCATAGTATTAAACTTGTAGCAAATGACCATTTTGTCCTTGTTGGGTTTTAATATACAAATTTAACGTGAAAGGACCATATTACCCTTGGATGATTTTGGGTCGGATAAAGATTCGTTTAACGATCCGGACCCAGTGGATTTAGGTCGTTACAAATTTGGTATCAGAGAGATGGTTCGAATACCATTTGGACGACGGGTAGAGGCCTAACTAGGATTGCATGGGGAAGTTGAATTGCATATTTATTTGCTTGGGTGTAAGGTGTATAATTGTTTGAGAAGCGTGCTTACTTGCTTAATTGTTTACCTGTTTATGTGACTGCATGATAACTGTTAAAGTTTATATTTATGGTTAGCATGATTAGGCTCATTATTAGTTGGGTGTTATGGGAGTATGGAAAGTGTTTAAGTCTTAACATTCCTATAAAGTTTTTATGTGAGGACTCTGCTCTTTTTTGTATTTTAGTGTCATCGTTTTGATCCGTTCTCTCGTTTTATAGCGTCATGCCACCACGAAGGGATCCCGGGGAAAGTTCTAGCTCCAATCCCGTAGAAAAGGATTAGGAGCAAGTTGAAGACGAAATTTTGTTGCGTGATTTGGTCCCACCAAGAGGGGGACAAGTGAGGGAGACCGTTGATCCACCTTTTCAGATAAATGAGGAACAGTTGCAGTTGGACGTTCAGGCAGCTCTTTTCAAAGCATTTCGACCGGCAAGAGCATCATTGTCACAGTTTGTGTCACCACCGGCACCACCACCACCACTACCTCCAAAGACAAATAAGTTAGATGATACTCTTTATCACATTGCCAAGTTCGTGAAGTTGATGCCAACTTTGTTTGAAGGCGGTCCTGATCCGCTTGTTGCGGATAGTTTCATGGATAGGGTGGAGAAGCATATCAACGCCATGAATTTGGCGACGGATAAGTTGAAGATTATATTAGCAACTTATAACTTTGTTGGGGATGCTGAGATTTGGTGGAAGACCGTTTCTCACACCCATAATTTGGACACCATGACATATGACACATTCAAAAGTTGTACTATGAAAAGTATTTTCCGGCACCCAAGCGGAGAGAGCTAAAGAAAGAGTTTAATGGGTTGAGGCAAGGGACCATGACAGTCACTGAATATGAAAACAAGTTCACATCACTTTTTGAGGTTTGCACCGGGGATTGCCAATGATGAGGAAGGGAAAATAGAGAAGTTTCCTGATGGCCTCGATCTTACCATCAGGCCAATTGTGGCCACTTCAGAACCGACAGATTATGCAAAAGCAGTGCGAAAGGCCTTAGTGATTGAAGCTGAAAGCAAGGATAGCAAAGCTATTAGAGAGTCCTATAAGCACAATAGGAATACGGGTGTTTTCTTTGAGGGTCAATCAAGTAAGAAGCAGAAGTATGAGCAGTCAGGGTTCAGGGGACAGCAATCAACCAGATCTGCACCCACAGATTCGGTGTCTATAGGGTCTTCTAGACCAAATGTCGCTTGTTTCAGATGTGGACAACCAGGGCATTTCAAATCCCAGTGCACTCAGGCTCAGGTAGTTCAAGTGATTTATTTCAAGTGTGGGCAGTCAGGGCATCACAAGTCTCAGTGTACTCAGATTCAGGTCGCGTCTGGTAGATGTTTCGGGTGTGGCCAGCATGGCCATAGGGTGAAAGATTATCCACAACAGGGCAGTAGTTTGGCCAGAGGTAGAGGTTCACAGCAGAGGCAGATGTAATCTGCCACAGTTCAGTCAGGGTTTCGACTACCACCACCACCTCAATCGTCCCAGCCAGCCATGTCAGCTCAGGGTTCTTGACAGGGCAGAAGAGCTTCCTTGAGTGTACCTACCCAACAGTCCGGTTATCAAATAGGTGGTTCCCAGGGTCAGAGGACTCAGGGTCGTGTGTTTACACTCACTCCAGCTGAGCCATCATCTAGTCCTTCAGTTGTTAGGGGTATGTTTTTTGTGTCCCATTCTTAGGCTCGGGTGTTGTTTGATTCTGGTGCTTCTTGTTCATTTATAGCTTCATCATTTGTATGGGCATTGGGTTTGAAGGTCAGTTATTTAGACAAACCACTTTGTGTTAACACACCTATCGGGGATTCAGTTACTCTTAGTAGAGTTTGTAGGGGTTATTCCATCACGATTGCTGGGTGTGTTGTTGAGTTTCATCTCATCATTCTCGAGATGACAGGGTTTGACGTCATTCTTGGGATGGATTGGTTGTTATCTTTTAGAGCCGTCATTGATTGTTTTAGGGACAGAGTGTCAGTGTGTACCCCGGATGGGGATTGTTTCTGTTTTGTGGGAGATCGGTGTGATCCCCTCACTCATTCATTCTATGGTGTTAGGGTTCGGGATCGGCAAACATTTTTCTTGGCTAGCCTTTTCACCGATGATGATGTTGAGTTTTATGGGGTTGATTATCCGGAGGTTGTGCGTGATTTTCTGGATGTGTTTCCGGAGGACTTAACGGAGTTGCCTCCATACCGAAAGGTGGAGTTTGCTATTGATTTGATGCTTGGTACCGAGCCAATCTCTATGGCACCGTATCGTATGGTACTAATTGAATTGGAAGAATTGAAGAAGCAGCTTGATGATTTAAGGGTGAAAGGTTTCATCCGACCGAGTGTGTCACCGTGGGGTGCACCGGTCTTATTCGCTAAGAAGAAAGATGGTTCTTTGAGGTTGTGCATTGATTACCGGAAGTTGAATCGCCACCATCAAGAACAAGTATCCTTTGCCAAGGATAGATGATTTATTTGATCAGTTGAGAGGAGCTAGTTGTTTCTCGAAGATTGACTTGAGGTTTGGCTATTATCAATTGCGAGTGAGGGATGAGGATATCTCGAAAACAGCGTTCCGTACGCGGTATAGACACTACAAGTTCCTTGTTATGCCATTTGGCTTGACTAATGCGTCAGCGGCATTCATAGACTTAATGAACCGTGTCTTCCACGATTACTTGGACCAGTTTGTGGTAGTTTTCGTGGATGACATCCTTGTGTATTCACGAACTCAGGAGGAGTATGAGGTCCATTTGAGTACTGTATTGTAGATTTTGCGGGAGCATCATTTATATGCTAAATATGAGAAGTGTGAATTTTGGCTACAAGAGATGAAGTTTTTGGGGCATGTTGTCTCGGAAGGTGGAGTATCGGTTGATCCATCGAAGATTGAAGTGGTTCTGAATTGGGAGCAACCTAAAAATGTCTTTGAAATCCAGAGTTTCCTTGGCTTAGTGGGATATTATCGGAGATTCGTGAAAGATTTTTCCCGTTTGGCAGCTCCTATGACCAGATTGACCCGGAAAGGGATTAAGTTTGCATGGAATGAAGCTTGTGAGTCTTCCTTTTAGGATTTGAAGACAAGGTTGACCACGGCTCCAGTGTTGGTGATTCTTGAGCGTGGCTTGGGTTATGTGATTTATTGCGATGCGTCACGTGATGGATTGGGTTGTGTACTGATGCAGGATGGTAGAGTAGTGGCTTATGGGTCTAGACAGTTGAAAACTCACGAGCTTAACTACCCTACTCATGACTTGGAGTTAGCGGCAGTCGTCTTTACTTTGAAGTGTTGGAGACATTATTTGTATGGTGAGAGATTTGAGGTTTTCTCAAACTACAAGAGTCTCAAGTACCTTTTCTCCTATAAGGACTTGAACAACAGACAAAGGCGATGGGTTGAATTCTTAGAAAATTACAACTTTGACTTGCAGTACCATCCGGGTAAGGCTAATGTGGTAGCTGATGCCTTAAGCTGAAAATCTCGTGGGACTTTGGCTAGATTAGCCATCCCGAAATGGAAGATGCTTGAGGATTTGGCAGAGATAGGATTGTATTGCCTTAACGATGATGTTTGCAGTGAATCAACATTCTTTTTTAGTCTTGTGGCTCAGCCTACTCTTGTCAGACTAGTGATTGGGTCGCAGAGACAAGATCCGGATTTAGATGCCATTCACACTTTGATCTTCAATGGGGAGACAGTGAAAGATTAGACCCTACATGCAGATGGAGGTCTACGGTTCAAGGGTTTGTTAGTCGTTCCCACAATTTGCCGTGAGGACATCTTATGGGAGTTTCATACTTCCCGTTTTGTAGTTCATCCATGTGGTACCAAGATGTATCATAATTTGAGAAGACAGTATGGGTGGAGTGGGATGAAGAGAGATGTTGCACAGTTTGTAGCCAAATGCCTTACCTTTCAGCAGGTGAAAGCTGAACACTAGAGACCAACGGGTTTGTTGCAGCCATTGCCGGTAACACAACAAAAATGGGAGGAGATTGTAATGGATTTTGTGGCAGGTCTTCCTAGGTCACAGTGTACAAACGAAGCTGTATGGGTAATTATTGACAGATTGACCAAGACGGCTCACTTTTTGCCTATTAAAGCAACAGATGATGCGGAGGCACTTGGTACACTTTATGTGAAATAGATTATGAGATTGCATGGAGTTCTAATGGCTATTGTGTCAGATAGGGATGCCAAGTTCACCTCAAAATTCTGGGAAGGACTTCAAGCAGCGTTTGGTTCATCGTTGCACTTCAGTACGGCATTCCATCCGCAGACGGGCGGCCAATCAGAGCGCACCATCCAAATCTTAGAGGATATGCTTCGGGCCTATGTTCTTGATTTAGGAGGTAGTTGGGAGGACCACCTTCCACTCATTGAGTTTGCTTACAACAATAGTTATCAGGCGAGCATTCAGATGACTCCATTTAAAGCGTTGCATGGCAGGCCTTGCAGGTCTCCTGTTTGTTGGACTGAGGTGGGCGAGACAGCCGCCTTAGGACCCGACATCGTACTCGAGACTACAGAAAAGATTAAGCTGATTAGACAGAGGCCACTCACGGATCAAAGCCGACAAAATAGTTATGCGGATAAACGAAGACGGCCGCTATCCTCTGAGGTGGGAGACCACGTTTTTCTTCGGGTTTCTCTACGGAAGGGGCCATGATTCATTGGACCATTTGAGATCTTGGACAGGATAGGAGAGGTTGCCTACAGGCTTGCATTGCCACTATAGTTGGACAGAGTCCACAACGTTTTTCACGTATCGATGTTGCGAAAGTACGAGCCAGATCCGTCCCATATTCTTGATTGGGTTGATGTGGACATTGATGAGGATGTTTTCTACGAGGAAGGACCAGTTCAAATCCTTGACACACGGCAGAAGGTATTAAGGGACAAAACGATACCGTTAGTGAAGGTTCTCTGGAGGCATCATGGGGTCGAGGATGCTACTTGGGAGCTTAAACAGGAGGTTCGCTCCAAGTATCCAGAGTTGTTTTCTTTCTCAGGTATGGTTTGATTTTGGGACAAAATCCTTTTAAGTTGGGGAGATTGTAATGTTTCCAATTTTCATCATTTTTCTTTTTCGGGTTTTCTATTGTTGCAAGTTTTTCGTCTTTTTCTTGTTCTGTGTGTCGAACATCGTGGGGTGTGTCGGGTATGTCCGAGAGTCGGGTGGGACATTTCCTTGAGTTCAGGACTCTTGGAAATATATCGGTTGCCATTTCGGCAATTTTTTTTCATTTTTCGGGCCGGACGGTCTCAGGTGGGACCCGCTACCGGGGTTGCTGCGTACGGAGATTTTAGTTGAGCCCATTTGCATCTCATGCATTTTATTTAAGGTGTTTTATATGGTATTTGTATGGTTGTGTGCATATATGTATAAGTTATGGTAGAAAATTAAATGAAAAAGGTTTTTTATTAGTGGTACAACCCACCACTAACACTTATGTATGGCTTAGAGACCATTTTGGTCTCTCACTTTCTCTCTCCCCGTAACCCCTTTCTTCCTCTCACTTTTCTTCTCCTTTTATCTTTCGTTTGATCTTGAACTTTAAAGTTTGATTACTTCCTCAATTCTTGGAAATTTTGGGTGCCGTTTGCGGCAAATCGAAGAGCTCGGCGAGATCTTCAAGTTGATGTAAGCAATTGTAACTTTGGTGCATCCTAGGAATTTCAAAAATTAGGGCTTTGATTTGGAGTTTTGGGAATTTTCATCTCCATTGAGGTAGGGGTGTTCTAATGCATGATTTCTTTTACTTTTGTGAGTTTTATAACTTGAATTGATGTCTATCATGTTCAATTAGTATAATTTCTAGCAAAATTTTCTTAAATGATAGGTATGGACTATATGTGACTAATTGTTAGTTGTTTTATAGTATTTAAACATGCTTACATGAAGTTGAATCCATGTCGTATATGTTTGTTATGTAAAGTTGAAGTTAAATGAGAACTTTAGTTATGTAGATTAGAAAATTGCTTTATATAGCATGTGTGAGAGTTTTATGGTGGAATTGATGAATTGAAGTATGAAACATTCCATGCATTCATTGGGATAGAAGAAGGGGAAAATTGTCTTTAAAACAAATGAAATTGTTTTGGGAAAAGTTTTCCAAAAGTGTTTGCAAAAACTCGGACGCCTAGGAGGCGCTAGTGGTCCGTGGTATTAGTGTAGTCTAGAGGGGAGTATGGTTGAGCTAACCAAGACGGATGCGACGCCTTGGAGGTGCCTTGTGGTCGTGGATGATTAGCCAATCCTCCTTTCATGACGCCTTGGAGGTGCCTTGGGTCGGAGTATACTAACGGTTTGAAAGTTGAAACGGAAATGTTTCGGATATGGGAAGCGACATTTACATGACATTGCATTTCATTAGAATATATGGTGTATATGTGTTTGGGTGACCATTGTTATATAATTGTCACTATAATTGTTGTCATGTACCCCTATACTATGATCCCGTTTTCTTTACCTATTCCTTACGTGGATTCACGGGGTCATAAGAAGTGTGTATTAGACACTTCCTACTGAGCGTTTAGCTCACCCTATTATTTTAATATTTTCAAGTTCGGGAAAAGAAGTAATGGACGACCATCTACCATAGCTTTAGCTTGGATTAGGAGAATGTATATTTTGCTACATTTTGTATTAGACCTCATTTTGTAAGGTGTTGACCCAAATGTACCATTTTGCAGCATGTGAAATATTCAGGTTTATTTTGTATATGGCCATTGGGGAATTGTAATTATGCTTATTTACACTAAATCATTTAGTGTATTTCATGTAACGTGTTGTAAATTATGTTAATATTGTTGTTGTTATTAATGTATTAGATGTTAAAATGTATTCAAATATGTAGTTGGGTATGGTGTGTAGGGTGATTGGTTATCAATGTTGGTGTATCTCGGACAGTGAAAAATTTAGAGTTTGGATAACCTAGAACCGGTCGACGTAAAATTCCCACACATCGACCGGATGACCTGAACCAGTCGACGTGTAGCCTCCCACACGTCGACCGGTATCTTTGCAGTAGCTATTTCACTGTGCATGACCTGAACCAGTCGACGTGTAACCTCCCACACGTCGACCGGTATCTTGGCAGTGGGCAATGTCACTGTGCGTGACCCAAACCAGTTGACGTGTAATGCATACACGTCGATCGGTTCCTGTTCCACACATTTTTTGTTTAGTTTCCCTAATTATCCTTTTATTCAAAGTTACGAATATTTATTTTAGAACCAAATAAAATTCAATAATTATTTTTTTATCACAAAAAAGACTATATTGCCCCGAACTCTATCTTATTTATTAAGTGACATAAGTAAATGACCATTATGCCCTTTGAATCTCATAGTATTAGACTTGTGGAAAATAACCATTTTGTCCTTATTGGGTTCTAATGTACAAATTTAACGTGAAAGGACCATATTACCCTTGGATGATTTTAGGTCGGATAAAGATCCGTTTAACGATCCGGACCCAGTGGATTTGGGTCGTTACATTTTAGCCTTGTGAATTTAATGAATCTTAGGTTCTCCTTTGATTTCTATGGATTAATTTTTTCTATTGATTCTCCATGTGATTACATGTTGTCTTATGTGTGATTATTTGAGAATTGATCTTTATACTCGTTTTTCTATATTAATTGCATGTTTATGTGTGGTCGATTGAGAATCTAGTTTTCATTGAATGGATTTGTCAATTAATTTTATGGGTTAGACTTACACTTGATGGGTTGTTCTACAATTTAATTCATGCTTGTAGTTAGGTAGACAATCTATACTTGATTTGATAGTCCATGGCTTATTATTGCAAATTTCATGATTTTCTAGATTGATGTGTGCTACAATTGTTGACTACTTTGATGGGTCATGCTTAGAATTGATGGGTTGTGCTACTCTCAGTTTGGTCCTACTTCTGATTCATTTTGTTACTAAAAATGTAATGACCCGGATTTTTTGGATAAATTTTTTCCGTTGTCTTTTCCCTTCTGAGTTTGGTTTCTTGTCGATTAGTGTCGTCTCGAGTGCTCTGGAGTGATTTCCGAGACTCTTTTCTTTGGATTGACAACTTCCTTTAAGGACCAAGTCATTTCCACATTTTTTCGTTTTTCGACACTATTCACTTTTCGTCCTTTTCCCTATTCCGTCTTTTTCCTTATTTCGTCTTTTCCTCGTTTGACACTTTGTTTGCGTAACCACACTTCTTGTGTTCGGAGTTGGTTTCTGACTTCACATATCTTCATTCCCAATGATTTCTATGAGATACGTATCTTTACTTTCGTGATAAAGTACTCTGGTTGCTCCCGGTGCCCATAGGGGCATAAATGCAAATTTTTTTGTAAACTTTTTCTTTTCTTGAGGTGTTTTTCATAAATATCTTTTGAAGATATTTTATTTCAGGGGTATCTAAGAAAATATCTTTTGGAAGATATTTTCATTCTGGGGCAGTTTCGCAGTTTTCACTTTTTGGAGGGGTCATTGTGTAATTAATGAAAGTTATTACTCAATGCCTTGTTTTGAGCCTGGATCCTCGTACAGGATTCATTTTCATATTTCGTCGAGTCTTGGACTCTTAGAATTTCCTCCTGGACAATATTTTCCAGTTTTAGGGTTTCTGGCCCTAGTTTGTGCCAAACTTGTTTTGGGCATAACTCTTTGTTCGGGACTCAGTTTTTGACGTTGTTTCTTCCGTTGTTCATATTTTCTCATTTGGAGTCTTTTTTGTTCACAGAGTTTTGCCGTTTGAGCGCATTTGCTCGAATTTCACATTTCCAGACCCGGCGGGGCCCGTTCGGGGCACTTTTTGAGTTTTTCTATAAATAGGAGGTCTTAGAAAGAAAAATCAGATTTTTCTCTCTCTCCTCTCTCATGGCCGGTCCAAGTTCCATCCATGGCTGCCATCTTCTCTCTCCTCTTTTGGACTTCTTCCTTTCATTAAAAAGTGGTGATGCCTTTGTGTTTATTGTTCCCCGTGGCGAGGCCTTCGATTCCAACCTATTGGAATCTCGTTTTGGCCATTTCTTGAGTTCAGATTTAAAGTCAAGTTGTGTTTTTGATGGGGCTTCCTTGGGATTCATGTTCGTGGTGCTGTCCCCGACAAAACCTAGGAGTTTCGTCGGATTTGGAGCCGATTTATTTTGGTGGGGATTTGAGATTTCATCTCAAATGGAGGTAGGGAATGTTTTAGGATTTCTTATGTGTTGTATTGTGTATTTTTCATGATTATACAACTTATATATGTGCCTTGTATCAAATCTAGAAAGTTAGTAATTTTTAATTCTTTGTATAAGATTTAAAATTCATGATGATATATAACTTTGATTTGAATTGTGGTATGGTAGAAAATCTTGTTTTAATATGTTGGTTAACATATATTAAATTTGGATTAATTAAATAAGAATTGCTCTTTTTAATTAATATTTATCTTTTGTGAAAGATTTAAGTTCATGGCCATACCTTACATGGAATTGAGTTGTATTATGCTTCTAAATTGAGTTTTGGCATGTTTGTTAACATACTTTAATTTGAGAGCATTTGGTTGAGTTTGGAAATCTAGAGACTTTAATTAAGGGAATTAATTAAAATCTATTTTGGTGGTTTCATGGGCCTAATTAAGCTTGTGTGTGAATATATGTAATGACCATGATATGTTTATTAACATATATTAAATTGGGGCCAATTGGAAATGATTTGAAATCTAGAGAGTTTAATTATTTTGATTAATTAAATTCTATCTGGTATATCCATGGATCTAATCATGTTTTAGAAGTTGTTTCTATTTTAAGTGCATGGATTTAGACTTGTGATGTATTCACTAGATTGTGTTATATGCATTGAAAAGCATTGTTGTTAAGTTTATATTCATGAGAGTATGTTTCTAATATGAATATATTATTGGTTTGTGATTTTGTAGCATTATGGATATGAAATGCTTATTATGCACAATTGAGAGTAATATTGCTAACTTGTTACTATGTAGTAGTAATATATATAAGTTATGAACTTATTTGGCTTATTTTGGAATCTTGGAACATTGTTGAGTTGAGATGGCTAGGGTTTGGGTCTAGTACGGGGACGTGAGTCCTCTAAGTCATTGAGATAGTGCGCACTTAGGGTGGTCTTCCCTGCGGGTTAGTGCCCGGAATAACCATTGAGGTCTCGGCAGAATTCCGAGCGTGATGTCCAAGTCTTCCACTTTTTGTTTTCGCATTCAATTCCAAGTTGACAATCATGTTTACCTTGTTGACTTGTGGTTTTGGCTATTGGCGATTTTGATGTTGTTAAGTACATCCATACTAAATTGATATATTTAGTTGATTTCACACTTTTAGATTTCTAGTTGATAACCTAGAGAATCTATGTCTTGATGTGTGGTATTAGATATTCTAATTATGCTAAATTGTTATATTTAGTTGATGTTGCATTTTAGACTTCAAGTTGATAACCTTGAGAATCTATATGTTGTTGCTTTGTGTAAGCATGCTCCTATGTTGTTACTTTGTGTAAGTATGAACCTATGTTGCTAAAATTGCATGAATGAGGTGATTGATGCTAGAAATGATCTTAGGTAGCTAGGATGCTCCTTGAGTCTCACCTTTGACATAGACGTTAGGTGGAATGAACCACAATAATTAAATTATGCAAACTTGTAAAATGTAGGTCGATGCATGCTCATTTCCTACGAGTAGCTTTATGTTACTCACCCCTATGATACTGGGGCATATTTCAGGTACAAAAATCAAAGTTGAGGTCTTCATTATGCTTGGATGGTTTGTAAACTTGGAGACTTCCATTTTTGGTGAAGGTTGGCTTGGAATGCCAATTGTAGTCTTATATGTCAACATGTGTACATTTGATTCCTTATATGTAATGTGTACATGAGTACACTCTTTACGATGTATTTGACATGTATGAGATGAGACCGAAGGCCAATGACATGTAATTTGTATCTTATATAATTTTGACTTCATGGAATATTATGAATGTATTGAAAAATATTGAGTTTTTGCTTCACCATGTTTGCATTGGGTGTGGGAATTCCATTTTGATTCTTTCATTAGCATTCATTCACCATGTATAAAGTGTGGCCAAGGGCCAAATGGCATTTTGAAACCATCTCATGATTTTAAATTCCAAGTTTTCGTTTCAAACTTTGTTTGTAGCATTTTGGCCGTTGGGGGGTCATATTTTGTATCGGCCATATTTTTGGGCCATGGACCATTTTAGCATGTCATACTAGGTAAGTTACGTTTGCGCGCCTGGTCGTTTCCGGGTAAGGATTCTTCTTTGGTGAAATGAGCCTCCTACGGACTCATTTTTCACTTTTGTTGCATATTCTGACCTAAGGGTATTTTGAAAATTTTCTTTGGAAAATAAATTCCATTCTTTACATAGTTGATTAGAAAATATGATTTTAGGTGGGGTTTCTTTTTCGTGTTTTTCCAGAAAATGCCATCTTGGCATCGGAAATCGCATCCGAAGTTCAGCTCTCAGTTTTTAAATTTAGCAGCTTTTTGGACCCTCTGGACCAGTTTTCTTGGGAGGGCATTTTGGGCATTTCACATTGTGTATATTTTGATTTTTCCCTTAAGTCACGTAGAAAACTCGATTTTAAGGGGGGTTTCTTCTTTGAGTTTTTCCAGAAAATGTCATCTAGGCCCTCAAATTTCCATTTTTCCCGGAAAAACCTCTGCTGCCAGGTTTTTGGGTTGCACTTTACTGTCCTCTTCACATGTAAACGGTTACGAGGGGTTTCGTAACCAGTTACATGTGCATGGGCAGTGGTTTTGGCAAGATTTTTGGTTTCCTAACCGGTTAGGAAGGTCTCCTAACCGGTTAGATGTTTTTGGTTGTCCTCTTTTGGACCGTTTTGCCCCTTCTTCTTCCGTTAGCCATATCTTCTTCATCCGGACTCCAAATCAAGTGATTCTTGAGTCTAAATTTATTAATTTTTCATTATCTTTCCAATGGTATGCTCGGTGGCACCCACTTTTAAGCTGAAAATGATGATTTTGCCCCTAGGTTCATTCTTGTTCGTTTTTGAAACGCTTCCGCATTTGATTCCTTTGGGTTCCGTGATCTCGTTGAGGGTCATAATGGTGTCTTAGAGACATGTTGTATCTCTAGAGACCATTGTTCTGTCTTTTGCTTCCGCATTTTGGATCCGTTATCGGGTCATCTTTCGGTTCATCACTGACACACCAGGTTGAAAAACTTCGGTCGTCACAAAAAACGGAGGAGGAAACTCAGTACCAAATGCTTGGTAATCCTCGGTAGAGCTTATTTATGATTTCGTGCCGAACCCGGTAAACGAACAAATAGGTGGTCTTTCTGGAAATGTGAAACAAAAGTTTTCCCCTTGCATCTACACATTGGTTTATTTGTCGGTTAGGTAGACAATTCATTCTTAAAAGAGTGTGGTTTGGTGAACGAGTTTGGTGGCGATTCCATTGTACCCCAAGACCTCACTTCTCATCTCTTAAATCCCTATCTCAACTTAATTTTATTTTACTTGCATCTTAATTAATTGAATCTTAGTTTAATCAACAATCCAACCTTTCTTTGTAATCTTTTGATACATTAGAGTCGAAATTAAATTCTAACATGTATAATCTTTTCGGATGATCCCTCCTCATTCATATTATATAATATAGATGTTAAGCGGTTTATAAATTTAAAGTATAATGCCCACTAAACACTAATTTCTAAACTCAAAATGTTATGCATTATTTTGTACGGGCGACATCAGTCCATTGTAATTGGATTGAGATATTTTTTTATTTTATTTATAATTTTTTTTACGGAGATATCAACACTTCACTCGCTCGCATAAAATTTCAAGATTTATTAAACTGGGTCATTTTGGTCATTTCATTAAACCACGTAAATCCCCACGTCTATTATACGGAGTACTGGCACTCCAAGATTATTAAATATAAACCTTAACACATCTATAGTCTGCACTTGAAGAAGAACAACTACCCCTCCTCTCTCTCGCCCCCTCGCACAGACCTTCTCTCTCTAAAACCGCGTAGCAAATGGATGATGACAATTATGGTCGGCGCTACGGACCAAAGGGCTACGCGCAGAGCGGCAAGATAATGCTCAGCGCAATTGTCATCCTCTTCGGCGTCGTCGTCTTCATGGTCTGCCTCCACATATACTTCCGCTGGTACCTCCGCCGCTCGCGGCGGCGCCACCTCCAAGTCCGCCGCCGCAATCGCCGCCTAGTCTTCTATCTCGAATCCAGAAACCCCAACTCCGCCTCTGCTACCACCGTCCACGGCCTCGACTCCTCCGTCCTCATCTCCCTCCCAATCTTCTTCTCCCCGGAGACCCACCCCGATTCGCTAGAATGCGCCGTGTGCTTATCGGAATTCGAGGAGAACGAAACGGGTCGTCTCTTGCCCAAATGCAAGCACAGCTTCCACACAGACTGTATTGACATGTGGTTTCACTCTCACTCCACCTGCCCAGTTTGCCGATCGCCGGTCGAGCCGCAGAATTCGCCTCCGGTTCACGAGAACCCGCCCGATTCGGCTGTGCCAGTGGCTGAACCGGTGGAACCCGGACCGGATTCGTGTTCTGGGTTGCCTATGGATTCTTCATCGTCGTCGTCTTTGGGGACTCGAAGAAAGGGATTGGATATGGAGACTGTGACGGTAGAGGTACAGAGGAGGAACGAGTCGGTGGACGAGTTGGTACTGAGTTCACCCGCGAGTCAGGCGCTGAGATCGCCGGGGACGCGGTTGCTGTCGTTGAAGAGAATACTCAGCATGAATAGGAAGTCGCCGTCTGGTGTGGGAGCGAGTTGCGGAACTTGCGGGGTTGGGGTTAGTGAGCTGGATGTAGACGAGTCGACTCAGAAAACTCGGGCTCACACACCTAGGTGAGAACCATGAATATTCAAAAGAGATGGTCACGGTCAAGCGACGGCGTATTAAGAACGTTGAAAGTTTTATTTTTTCAAAAGTTAATGTTGAAAATTGGAAACAATGACATTTGGCGACTGTATGTGAGAGACTCGAATCTCTAGGGGAGACTAGGACGGTGGGATGCGGGTGAGTAGACTAGACGTGGCACGAATATAGTGATTATAATATCTTGTAATGGGAGTTTTTCTCACTTGTTGGATATTGATTAACTTGTTTTGGATAATTATTTCTTTTTTATTTTATTATTATTATGATTATTACTCCATTTGTTTAAAAAAAATTATCACTCTTTTCAAATATATTATTAATATAATATGATTCAAAAGGATAAATTAGTAATTTTTTTAGAAAGACAAAGCAGGTCTTACATGTTTTCTTAAAAATTTTTACTTTCCAAAAACGACATCTAAAATGAGGTAGTTTTATAATTTTTATAGAGGACAATGAAATAATTACATGTCTCATTAAAAAGTTTTACACCTCAAAAAAGATATCTAATATAAAACATGAAACAGAGGGAGTAGTTAATAAACACAAATAAAATTAATAAATAGAGGGAGTAGCCCTAATTTTTCTTTTAGAACGATAAATATCAATTTTTAATAAGATTAATGACCTATTTTTGGAATTGTTTTTCTTCCCAATATTAGTTTTCCACTCAATCTTCTATTTATACCATTATAAATTTAAAATAAAAAGCTAAATTTATAAGTAATATGTAATTTTTTTTTTAGACTTGTAAACATGTATAAAAAAATATTCTATTAGCAATTGATTTTTTTTTTTCAAAATAATTAGTCAATCTTTTAAAAGTTTATTATACAAATTAATTGAATAGGAAGAAATGATAATATTTTATTATTAGTTTTTGTACATTAAAAATGGCTGTTTTAAGTCCTACACAATATATATATGTATATATATTTTTAAATTTGAACTTTAATTAAATTATCTTAATTTAAATTGATAATATAATATTCATTAATTAACTAAAACATATAAGAACATTAAAAAAAAAAAAAAAAAAAAAGAGCGGACGCTATAATCTTTAAAATGAAATTATAAATGCGCCTTTACACTATAGAATATTTGGTTCTTATAATCTTTAATATCATAATTTGGTAGCTCAGAACATGTACTATAATGGCTGGAATGAGAGGTCTGGTATCTGGGAAGATGAATAGTGCATCACAGTTTAATCACTAATAGATTTTATATTATAATCTATGGACGTTGAAGTTAATTAGTTGATATTTTTTGTTTTAAGTTAGCTGATCATGTCTCTTATTTATTAATATTATATATATATGTCGTATTAAGTTTATGAATTTTGATCATATATACTCTATTCTCAAATTTTTATTTAAAAAATCACATCTCACATGTACATATTTTTTTTTGTAAAAAAATCATACAATGCAAAACATGCCAACTCTCCAAAAATAATTATAGAAATCAATATCATACCGTGTTTGTGAATTCTGATCATACATACTATATTTTTTGGCATTTTGTGTAGAAATTTATTCGCACATATAACAATTCAAACAAAACATTAACATGTTAATTACATGAATTATGAAAATAAATAAGTACACATGTTTATGGTTTAGATTAAAAGAAATGGAATGTAAATTTTTGTAATTGCATTTGCTCATTTTTAGAATAAATAAATTATTCTTATTAAAAAATTTGAAATGTTGCAGGAAACTAATAAAATGGTATCAACCTTTTAAAAAATGAGTTATATAGCCAACCTTAGGTTGTCTCAGTTCCATTCCGCAAATCTCTATTAAAAAATATTTCCAATGTTTGGACTGGAAGTCGGATTGCTCATGTACTTTGATTCAATCCATCAAATATAAGATATATTTAAAGAAATTGTACTAAGACAAATTTTAGAAATATCAACTTGGAAACTCCTTCGTTCTGTTCATATACTTTATTTGAAATAATGGTTATTTTTATATTTTATTTTAACTATTAATACATTTATATATACAAATTACAAACACCATATAAACCTTAACAATTAACTTATTTACTTTTTAAAATTTTCTCAACAATTATTGAATTTTGTATAGCTATTCATTATTTTATGTATATTATAATAACTATTTACTCTATTGATTATGTGTTATACAATCAGTTTTAATTGTACTACCAACTCTTTATTTTCTCTCTCTTTTTCCGGATAACCATGTGTTGCTATGAGTCTATGACAAAGACCACGTTTAGTCAAGTCTATTAAAAATAGATTAAAAAATAATGTGTTTACTTAGTTGACTAAAAAATTAAATTCTTTCTACGCTTTCATTTTATATTAAAAGACAAGTGAAATTATTGCACTTTGATTAAGATTTATTATTTTTTCTTTGTGGGTAAGTAAACTTGAATTTAGTTTTATTTCTTCCTTTCACACAAGTGTGTGAACATGACTACATTATATGGGGGCAATTGCGTCTGAAAAATATATATATATATATATATATATATAATAGGGCAATTGCTGGCTTTGATCCTCAGCAAGTGCTTGAAGTTTCATTTAATGGTCATCAACTATATTAGATTGGGTCCTTTTGAGAAATTATTAGATAATTTAAGTCGTACTTGGTGGACCAATTTAATTTAGACTATTCAAATAAAAAAAAGTGACCTAAGAAGAGTGTATTAATAATTTCATTTATAGAATTAGACAGAATTTACTTAAATTTCTGTCTCACAGAACATTTTTTTATTTTTTTATTTTTTCTCACATAATAAATCAACTTACTTAAAAAAAAAATTTGATAAATTTTCCCCAACTCTTTTTTGACATTTTTCAATATTCCACATAACTCTCCTTAAATTTTTATAACTTGATAACCGTATTATTTTATCATTTTATCCATAAAATACCTACAGTGATTTTAGGCAGTAGAATTTACCCTTAAAAAATTGCTAGCCAATCTGGTCATCACTCTACAGTGTACTAAGGGTTTGATTAACCGGAATTTGACGATGGATAGTGAAAGAAAAAGAAAGTGAAGTAAGAGAAAAGAAAATTTAGTTTCTATCATGTATTTGGTTAGTATGAATTTTTTAAAAAAAAATTGTGAGAAAATGTTATTTCATTAGTTTGGATAACAGGAAAGTGAAAAGAAAATGATTTTATATACCAAAACTACCCTTACTAATTTGATATAAAAAATATACATAGCATAAAAAAAATATATAAGACTGGGTTATATATATATATATATATATATGTCCAAATACAAATTTAGTAATTGAATAGTTTTTAATTTTTTTTTTAATTTTTAATTTTTATTTAAAGGTTGCAATATATACTAGGACTCTATTAGTTCACTTCTTTTGTGGGTGTGGAGAAGAGTCTTAATTTTAAGAATCATAAAGTTGTACCATAATAACATAATTCTAATATATGGATGAAGAAAGAGATGAATGAATAAACAATTAATAAGGGCATAATAAGGAATTAAAATATAATTATACAACTTTCACGGAAAATTAAAATTTTTTCGTGTTTTTTGAAAGAAATATTTTTAGGAAAATCAATTAGTTGCGAGAATATTACTTTTCTGAAATTTTTTCTTTTCATACTAACTAAGCTGTTAAAAAATTTAAAAATTTTCTCATTTTTTTCCTTTTTTGTTAGTTTACGCTAATCAAACTAATCCTAAAAGAATAAGAAAAGGAAAAGGAAAAGGAAAAGGAAAATGAATTTATGAAAAAGCATTATGATTTTTCTTACACTTGGCAGCTAAGCAAAGCACATTCGTCTTGGGCACCAGAAAAAGTGCCGTGTATTGTTGCCGTGCCCTGTGCTTCATGTCAAAAAGCAAAGTCTACCCACGTATATAAAAACTGTGACAAAAAAGAGTTACATTTATAATTTAGAAATAAAAAGTTACATTTATAATCTATACAGAAATTAATATGTAAACATGCAATTCATCAATCTTTCAGAATTTTATTATACAAATTTAATTAAATAATAACAAATGATAATATTTTATTATTAATTCTTAATATAAAATTTATTAATTAACTTAAACTTATAAGAACATTAAAAAAAGAAAAAAAAAAAAAACGTAGTTATCAATTTCCCAATAGAAACAATCTGTCTAACAGGCGTCCATGTGGGCCCGTATTAGTAAGGGTTAAGGAAAGTGTCTTATTTTAGTCAAAGGAATAGCTTGGTGCGGGTTCGAAAAGCCACTACTCGGTTCCTTTAATATATTTTATTTGTAATAATTTTATTTTTTATTTTAACTATTAATAGATATATATACACACACATGATGATGTTAGCAACTATTAGGGGTGTTAAAAAAATTCGATAAATTGAAAAATCGGACCGGATCGAACTAAATTGGGCGATTTGGGTTAGTTATATAGTGGTTTGATCCGGTTCTTAGCCCAAAATTGTGGAACCATAATTTTTCGGTCTGGTCCTGGCTTAGGGTCCTACTAGACCGGACCGGCCCAGACCGAACCGTTACTATGTTATAATATATATATATATGTATATATATGTATATCATACCCTAAACCTAAATCAAGTAAAATTTTCACATCTCTCATGCCCTCCTTTTTTTTTTCTTTAAATTCCTTAAATTTCTTTTAAAAAAAAGTCAAATTTCCCTTTTCAAATATACCTTAATTTTCTTCTTATTCAAATATATCTTAATTTTCTTTCCTTTTTTCTTCTTAAAATTCTTCTTTTTGCATGTTATATCAATGTTAGTTGATTTTTTTTTTTTTTTTTTTTTTTTTTCAAATTATGCCCCCTCTGAATTAAAATAAAATAAAAAGAAAATCAACTGAAACCGACAAATCGAATTGAACCAAATCAGTTTTTCGCAATTTGGTTTGATTTGGTTCCATGGCTATTATAGTTCGGTCTGGTTTCAAAAATAGTAGAACTGTTATAAATGGTTTGGTCCCAAAAAACTCTCAATCTGGTTCAAACTAGACCGCGTGCACCCCTATCAACTATCTTATTTATTTTCTAAAATTTCCTCATTAATTGTTTAATTTTGTATAGTTATTAATTATTTGATGTTGTAATAACTATTTATAATGTGTTATACAACAAATATATATATACATATATATATATAGGGTAAGGTGAAAAAAAAAAAAAAAAAAAAACTCTTACTATATACTGAATACGCAAATACTTCCTTAGTGTTATAAAAACTTGCTACATTTTTCAAATTG